AGTGCTGCTGTTGGGGCGGTAATTGCCTTAGCAGGCTAGCAGGCTGGCTGTAACGACATTATCAACCTGTTAACAACCACAGAGGAGCTCGAGCTGTTCCTCTAAAGGCTCTGTCATCCGTCAATTTATGGTCAGTCGCAGTGCTGTTTATCTACAGTGCTATTTGTTCAGGTCTCTCATGTTTTGAGCCAGGGATGATCAAAACAAAAAAGGTAGGCTTGTATATTTAATACTATCATAAATGGTGTCAGGAAACATACCAGGAGTATTAGCAGTCCAGGTTTCACCAGGGGGCAGCATCAACACATTTTCAGACCTCACACTCAACCTTAATCCACCTACTTCATCCCTGTTCCAGTCAGTCCTATGACGCTATTTACTGGATAACATAAGAACACAAACGGGCCACTGTTGCTGTAGACAGTTACGTATGAGCGTATGAGGGCTAGCATTGCATATCAGCACTAGAATGCAAACTGTTTTTCTTTTTTTTTTTTTACCACCGCACTATTGAATTTCCTTACTGGGCAGGCTGTGTCGGAAATTTGTTTACTCCATTTGCATCACATAATTCTAAAGTATACAAGTTCACCCTTTTACTGTATGACTAAACAAAGAAGGATGTTCCATTACGCATTAGGTGAGCATCAAACACAATATGTGATCTTGTGTTATGACAAAAACCGAGACAGCATGCGTCATATAAAAAGAATGAAATATAAAGCTGACAGCATTTTCATAAAACTTTCCCTTAGATTCCACTGCTTCATCAGGATGTTCCAGCACCATCTGATGTAGAGTATATTGATTGAAATGTTCAAACATCAGACATCATGTTCAGACGTCACCTTGCATTACTGGTTACACCACAAGTTTTGTAGGTTTGAGAAATGCTTTTCTGTGCCACATGAGTTTGAAACAATGGACAAACACGATATAGTGTGTTAGTTTTCTTTACTTTTGGATGAGGTTGTTACCCTGGGTCAGTCTTTATGTTAAGCCAAGTTAACTGCTGCTGGCTGTAGCTTCACATCTTTTATCTCTTTAGCGTTTAGTCGGTACTAATAACTTTAAATTAGACACAAATAGACATGTCTATTTTTTTGACAAATCTTTTTTTTCTCGCCTCTCCGGTGACTCTGAAAAGGAAAACATGTGTATACAGAGTCTACAGACATGCTAGAGGCACTGTGAGGCAGTGCTGTGAGCTGAGTCGTGATGCTAACATGCTGGTGCCAAGCAGGTGTAACATTTATACCATGTTCACCATTTTAGTTTAGCATGTAACATTCTTAGAGTTGAACACGGATGTTCACAGCACAGCTGAGGTTGATGGAAATATCATCAGTTTTTCAGGTATTTGTTTACAAACTATGTAGAAGTCATCAGCAAAGACATTTCGGTCCTGCTCACACTCCCAGCTCATCAAATACCGCCACTTTGTCTGGGATATTAACGTACAGAGGCACCTTTCACACTGGAATGACGCCACATTCACACTGGACATGGAAGCGCCGTGAAGTGCGCCGATTTTCTTTGAAGCATTGCCGTCTTGCTTTCAGGGCTCATGCTAACAGACAGGGCCATTCACACCGGACGTGACACGATGCCAAGCTTCCAGGCCGGCAGCAATAGTCTATTTTTTCTGCGAGCCGCAAGCGAATCTGGCAAGACAATGAAAATGTACTGTACGTGATATAAAGTGTATATTAAATATGATTTAAATTATCTGACTATGATAAATGATAGAATATGCACCCCATGCTTCCACATATTTGTCAATTGTGTCTAAACAGAGAGCAAGAGAGACAAGCAGAGCCACACACACAAACACACACAGCTCTGTATGTGATATCAGTGTGAACAGAGCTTGATTCACACCAGGAAGCAGCTATTTCTGACGCTGCCGGCAACTACCACAGTATAAAGAACAAGATGGTCCATCTAGGAACAACAAACACCTTATTTTCAGCCGGGAGCCCACAGTTTGTTTCCTGTGTGAAACAAAAAGTCAGTGGTGTTATTTTAATAACAACTTAGTGTACTAGTATGTGTAGCATGCTCCGCTACTGACATAAGGTTAGTGAGAACCTTACTAATTTTAAGCCAAACCATGATGTGTCTTCCTAAACCCAACCAGGGACTTTTTTTCCCCAAACTTATCACATCACACTTCCTAAAATAGTGTTAGATTTAGCCTGTTCTGTGTTAAACTAAGCCGGTTGCAAGAGGGAGGATCAGAGCTACTGTAGGACTAACTGAATCTTAAATGAACCCTCCAAGGAGGCAGTTTTAAGTTCTGTTTAACAAAGTTTGTGAGAGAGCATGGACTACTAATTGAAATATGTAAATGAAGACCAACATGCAATACAGAGGCCAGCCAGACGAGTACTTGTTGATTGGATCTAATATATTGATGTACTTTAGTGATGATGCTTTCACAGCTCAGCACTTCAGATAGATGAGATGCATTTAAATTGAATGCATTTAGTATGGCTTATTTTTGCTTTGATACTGTTCATACTGTACAAAATTAAAAGTGTGCAGCAGAATTAAATGAGTTGCTAAACCAAGTCTGGTTTAAAATGACTATCCAAATGACAAAAAATGTATTTGTTTACAAATCATATTGTTTATTGTGGCTGGATCATATCTCTCTCCGCCAGCTTCGTTTACAATGCAACCTCTCACTTTCATTTCAAGTTCCTCCTTCAGATATTTTATGCTCACGAAATCCTCTGACATTTGAGGTTCTTCCACAGAGTCTATAAAGGTGGACATCACTCAATATAAGCATTACTTAAAAAAATGAATATTATAAAATATTAAATACTGCTCATTATAAAGATGTCTCGCCTGAATTTGTTGCACTGCCCTTGGGGTTACATTGGCCTCTGCAATTGTTTGGTCTCAAGATTCCATTCTGGGTTTTCATGGGCACCATGAGACCAACAGCGTGTGCTCGTACTTCAGATACAGTAATGAGGCCTAACCCAGGTGTTCTCATTTAGTCTTACCTTACTCTAAGACTCCATAGTCGCACACTAACAAAGCAAAATTTAAAGGGATAGTGCACCCAAAAATGAAAATTCAGTCATTATCTACTCACCCATATGCCGAGGGAGGCTCAGGTGAAGTTTCAGAGTCCTCACATCCCTTGCGGAGATCCCAGGGGAGAGGGGTAGCCACACAACTCCACCTAATGGAGGCTGACAGTGCCCCAGATTCAAACGTCCAAAAACACATAATTCATAATTTCATAATTGAAACCACACAAGCGTGCATACGTGAGTGCGGTGTACAGAGAGGCAGTTATATATTAGAGCTGCAGGCTACAATGAGGCTAAAAACAGAGTTCAAATGACGTTTTTCCAAAAAACTTTTTATGTCGGGGCTTCAGCACACTTGGATCACTACAGACGAGCAGTATGGAGATATTTTGTGGTTTCAATTATGTGTTTTTGGACGTTTGAATCTGGGGCGCCATCAGCCTCCATTGTGTTGCTACCCCCTCTCCCCTTGGATCTCCGCAAGGGATGTGAGGACTCTAAAACTTCACCTGAGCCTCCCTCGTTAACTAGCTAGTGGTTAACTGTTGTTAACATTACTATTAGCTAAAAGCACACAGCTTAAACATTCATGATTTAAGTTTACCTAAAAACGGTCATCCATCAGCCCGAAATTTTATCAAACAGCAGTGTCTCTGGCAGTGAATCATCATTGACACAAAGTTTATTCAAAAATGTTTAACAACAAAAGGAGCGCTCCTTTTGTTGTTAAACATTTTTGAATAAACTTTGTGTCAATCCTGATATTCTAGTGTGCGCTGGAAGTTTTTGAACTCTTGACTGTGATTTATCCTGCACCAGCTGGCACCTAGAAGAAGCACTGCGCCGCTGTGCACAGGGATTTACTATTTTTTTGTAAAATATATATGTATATATAATAATCTCTGGGTCCATGATTTAGGGCTAACTACTAGCTTACGCCTTCTTTTGTTACGCGCAGCTGGTTGCTAGGTAACAGGAACGCTAATGGGTCGGGGCAAGAACAACTGATGATGCAACCAAGAAATCCTACGCAGTCCCATTTCGGAGACCGTTTGGCTTGGCTTATGTGGTCTTCAACGGGCATGGTCGACGTAGACCGCTAAGGCCGTGTCCTTCAAAGGCTGCAGCCCCTGAATTGAGACACAGCTAATGCATGTAACAAAACGTCAATTGAGACGCCATCTGTTAAGGTCCACAGCTGACGCAGGAGGGTACCTAGCATGTCATATATTGATGTTTAGGTCCACTCACAAAGCGGTGGTCTTTGACGAGTTAGCATGGGACAGGGTTGGACATTTCACTCAGACTCACAAATGTCAATGTCACGGTGGTGGCAGAAGAAAAGTCGAAGGCTGGTCAAAGCAGGATTCATCCTTTAGGAACCATGAGTGTCTGTACAAGTTTCATGGCAAGTCATCCAATATTTATTTAGATATTTCAGTCTGGAACAGACAGCGGGTCGTTCAACCAATCGCAAGATTGCTGATTCAATCCGTAGCTCTTTCTTGTGGTGTAATAGCACAATGAATGAGTAAGTCAAGGAGTGAGCTATTTGCTTAAAAACGTTCTTATTTCACTACTGTATCCTTTCTGTCACGTGAATACAAAGACATACTTTTGAGAAACAAAATCAAATGAAGAACATTAGGATCGCACTGCAAGTTCTTGTAATGGTTGGTGTTCTTATGGTAAAAGCAATGTACAGTAATTTCAAGTTTATTTCCTAACTCCCCAAATGTGGAAGATGGTTTCGGCAGCTTACAGTGACATGTCAGTCCAGCCCATTTCTAAATGTGGCCTGCTGACAGCTGTTACTGAGAAACGGACACAATATGTGCTGTGAGAGGTGGACATGCTTTATTTGCAAGGTAAATTAGGCTAGAGGAACATCACAGGTATATCTTTCAACAACATGTGATGACTGTAAGGTGGATGTGAGGCACTGTGGAGAGTGGCAATGCAGAAAATCACCTCGCTCAGGTAATGGAAGCTTAGGAAAACACTTAGGTGATTTATCTTAAGGTTATGTTCAGATAATCTCTAGTAATCTACTGCGCATTGTCCGTATTCTTCAGGATGCTACCATGGGTTGTGAAGCATCGCTGGATGTTTGTAGCAATCCTGCTCTGTGGGATGTTCGTCAACAACAGCAGATCTCATTGCCCAGGTGAGTAACGAAGGCTAACTTGAAATGAATCAGTATTTCTCAACACGATTTGGCGCGTCTTCTACATTTTAGTGTATATGTTACATTTGTCAATTTGTTTTGTTTTTTACAGACATAAATAACACCTGCACACACAAAAATGTGCTGTTTGTCAGTACCAAACAGATGACTGCCAATCTTTTTCCATCAAGTAAGCTTGACAACATTGTCAAAGGATAATGGTCCTCTACTAAAGGTTTAATAGACAATTCAAAGTAAACAGTTCTTTAACATTACATTTCAGAGGCTGTCTATAAAAATGCCAATGGGACTAAACTCTGCTTCAATATCCTGAACACAACACAGCATGCAGGTACAGTTGACTAGTTATAAGCTTGATTTGAGCCCACTGCAAATAACCAGTTTTTTTCTCTTGGTCTTTGATGAATGTGTGTATGCTGTGGTTTGTGTTTCAGACTGTTGTAACACAATGGAGTTCGACTGCCACTTTAACATAAGTGATGACGGAAATAAGAAATACAAACTGATTCTGAATGAAAAGTTCCTTTCCAAGCAAGATATTGTAGTGATGACTTCCCCAGATCAGAAATACAACTGTTCTCCATTGCAGCTCTACAACACATCCTTAGGTATTGCTGATAACTACCATGCTATATGAATTCTTAAAAAAAGAAAGACATAGGTTTGGACATAGACAGATTAACCAGTAACCTCTTCACTTTATGCTTTTTATTCATCGAACAATTAAGAAATACTGATGTAAGATAAAATGTAACTGACATTTTTGCAAGTGAAGGCTGTTCACACAAACTGCCTGTATTTAAGAGTGCATATTTGCAAAACAGAAGCAGTGAGATACTACCCCCTACTGGTCAAAAAAGTTCTTCACTAAAAAAAGTCACAGTCGATGTTTCCTCTTTTAACCAATCACCTTATACATCCTCTCTTCTTCAACAGATTTCTTTTTCCAAGTTCACAAATGCTTGGATAAAGGTAAAACGCAAATCTACCACAGCTCTTATTTTCATATCAGCACACATTTAAGAGCAGTGACAAGGTACATGTCTAATCTTGTCATGCTTAAATATGTTTAAGGTGTCAAGAATTTTAGATTGAGCCAAAACGACCCCTGTGGAAACACCTCAAGCTATAATGCTGAAGCTTGCACAGGTATTATCTTAAGCTTATAATGTTATATTATTTAAAACATAACTCCGTAAGCATCTTATCACTGAACCAAAGAGAATTGCAGCGAAAATGTAATGTTTCTGTTTTTGTAAGTGTGTGTGTGTGTGTGTGTGTTTGTGTTTTGATACGCAGGTTTAGCAGAAACAGACTACTATCTTGAATTCTTCTCTGATAAAAAGATGACATGTAAGTCATGTAAAGCACCTGGAAAAGCACCTCCTATTTCTCTTACTTTGCCCTCAATTGAAAGCAATAATGGCACCTCCATCAGCCCAGAAAATGCAGCGTAAGTGTCTAACTTATTGATGGCTACATTGATAGATACAACTGCTACTACTCGGTGTGGCATTGTGAGGAGCTGTGATGATGACTGCTGGAAAGAAAAAAATGATTTGTATGTTTTTTAATTGCAGAAAGGTCATGAGCAATCTCTCCGCCCTGCTGAACAACATGGGCAATTACAGTGCAGCATCCATCACAATGGGCCAAATTAAAGGGGTGATCTCTAAACTCCCTCTTGAAAATCAAACCGACTTCAGCTTTGGCATTAAAACGACTGGTGACATGAATGTATGCAGTTTGCCTTGATACAAGAATAAATAATATATAAAATAGAGTTAAGTCACCCTAGGTTTTCTGACGATCATCCTCATTCCTCATTGATTTCTTGTAGATTCTTGAGGGTAACACTGACACGGCGACGGGCTTCTCTCGATCGGTGGTAATCCCTACAGAGGCCATCGCCATGGCAGTAAAAAAGGAAGGCTCATTTGCTGCAGTTCTACTTTTTCCAGGAATGCATCAGGTAAAGCTTGTCAAAAAAGGAGAGACTTGCTGCACATTATTTTTTTTTAGACTTTAATAAAAAATGAATAACATCCATGCCTGAGACTGTGTCTGTGCCTGTCATGAATATTTATGTTATTTCCAACAGGATGACCCCGAAAGTCATTTTTTCAACGATGAGGTAGTGGGGATTGAAATGGGAACAGAAATATCACATCTCTCAGATACCATAGACATTCATTACAAGAGTGTGGAGAAGGTAAAAGAGATGACTGAGATAAACAATATATGAACAAGTCAATAATAATTGCTTACAGAAAGAATGAGTGTACTGATTTTTCTTTTTCTATTCTGATACAGAATGGATCAATTGCTTCTTGCAGGTCATGGGATGGAAAAGGTATTGTAGAAATTAGAGTTAATCCGATACCAATACCAGCAACGAAAATGTTTACACTACTGCTTTAAGTGTGGGATCAGGTATCTGTGAAGATGCAAGTCCACGCACGATCCAATACCACGTAATTTACTAATAAACTTCAAAGTATTTTGTACCCGTATGAATTTACGGTTTTCCTAAAAAAAACCGTATTCTTCTTTGCCACTCTAAAACAGACCCCTAGGCAGCAATTTGTGCTGTACAGCCCTGGCAACTTCTGTTTTAGAGCAGTGAGCAGTGAGGGTTTAACCTGAGCCATGTTATAACTACCTTTTTTTTTTAAAGCAATGGTACTGGATTGGTACTCGTAGGTCATTTTTAGGTATAACAATCTGTATGGCGAAGGACAAAATGGTATTGGAACATCTCTAATGAAGATATTCTTTTGATACTTTAACACTGCCTTTAACAAATTACAAATTCCTGCCACACCTCCCTCAGCCATTAATGTGAAAACGACTTTAAGTACAGTAGCGTCTCCTGCTTTTGTACTGTAGGAAAAGCAAACTGGATCACAGATGGCTGTGAGACAAAAGTGGTCAACGAAAGCGTCACATGCCAGTGCTCTCACCTGACATTTTTCGCAATACTGTTGGTAAGATGATTGCATTACAAGTCATTCCAGTTCCATCGTTTCACACACGACCTAACACGACTTTCTCTAAATCAGTCACCTGCACCTGGAAACATAAGCACTTCAGATTTGAAGTCTCTGACCTACATCACGTCAGTCGGCTGCGGCCTGTCGATGTTCTTCTTGGCAGTGGCTCTCTTCATGTATTGTCTTATCAGGTAAGGAACCACTGGGGGGGGGGGGGGGG